TTTCATCACATTTCTTTGTATATTTACCAAGTCAGACTACAAGCAACAATAATTCCGTTTTCTTATCTTAGGATCTTTCTGCCACGTTTATTTAGAAAACAAGATTCTATTCGAGGCAACGGCGAATGTAAATATCATAACAACTGCTAATGCTTGTATTGGCCTTCTGTGCATCTTCCAGCAGTCCAGTGGTTCGTGTTCCTCTTCGTAGGACAGATATTATTACTGGAAAGGAGTCGGTCTGTCTGTGTTTGATTGTAACGTTATGAAACACGTCCAATGTCTTCAAGTGCTGGGAAGATTTCTTCTTTTTAATTTGCACCCAGTGTATTTATTGACAAAGGCAGGTTATTTAGATGAAGTCATTAGGTCGCCTTGTCATGCAGCAGATATTAACCCACATAAGGCCACGCTGACCCGTCAAAGAGTGAACTTTGCAGGATTTTAATAATTGCAGCCTCCTGCTTCTCATAATTTCTCAGCTGTCTTTTTTTATCACAGCGCACGCTCATCATTGACCAGAAGACTTTGGGTTTGATCCCTAACAAAAATGCCTTGCTGAAATTTATTAAACGAAACAAACTGACAGTAATTGAAAATTAATATTGGGAGCTGGAGGTAAATTCAACATTCATCAGGCAACATCAGCAGCATGATGACTTTTAATTAGATTCAACTTTCTAAATTCAGCTATTGGGAGGTCTAATAAATAGTGATGAGACAAGAGAATATTGTGGACAATATTAGGAGACTTTGAAAAAAAAATGTTGATGTTGAATTAGTTTGACAAAAAAGTGAAAAATTGTTTTTATTATTATTATCAGAATAGAACTTGTTATTAGAAATCTGCATTTTTTGTGAAGGTCAGTTCAAACCAAGGATCATAGCTAATGTTTTAAATGCAGTTTAAAAACATTCAAATATAAAACACTTAGGAGCACAGATAAACAATATCGTTGAAATCAATTATGTGATTTCCACTTCCAATTTCATATGATGAATGATAAAAACATTGACAGCCAATCTGCACTCACCGGCCTTTTTATTAGGTACCAGGTTGGACCCCCCCACCCACCTTCAGAACTGCCTTAATCCTTCGTGGCATAGATTAAACAAGGTACTGGAGATATTTATAAGAGACTTTAGTCCATATTAACATGATAGCATTAGACAGCTGCTGCAGATTTGTCAGCTGCACATCCATAATGCGACTACCGTTCCACCACATCCCAAAGGTGCTCTATTGGATTGAGTTTTGGTGACTGTGGAGGCCATTTGAAAACAGTGAACTCATTGTCATGTTCAAGAAACCAGTCAGGGATGATTCATGCATTATTACATAAAGCGTCATCCTGCTGGAAGTAGCCGTCACAAGATGAACACACTGTGGTCATAAAGGGATGGACATGGTCAGCAACAATTGGTACTAATGGGCCCAAAGTGTGCCAAGAAAATATCCCCCACACCATTACACCACCAGCAGCCTGAAGCGTTGATAAAAGACAGAATGGATTAATGCTTTCATGGTGTTGGCGTTAATTACTGACCCTACCATCGGAATGTCACAGCAGAAATCAAGACTCATCAGACCAGACAACATTTTTCCAATCTTCTATTGTCTGATATTAGTGAGCCTGTGTAAATTGTAGCCTCAGTTTCCTGTTCTTACAGGAGTGGTACCTGGTTTGGTCTTCCAGAGCCCATTCCCATCCGCATCAAGGTTCGATGTGTTTTACATTTAGAGATGCTCTTCTGCATATCTCGATTGTATCGAGTAGTTAAATGAGTTACTGTTGCTTTTCTATCAGCTCGAACCAGTCTGGCCATTCTCCTCTTGCATCAACAAGGCATTTGCACCCACAGAACTGCCACTGGATATTTTACTGGATATTTTCTCTTTTTCTGACCATTCTCTGTAAACCCTAGAGATGGTTGTGTGTGAAAATCCCAGATCAGCAGTTTTTGATATACTCAGTCCAGCCTGTCTGGCACCAACAACCACGCCACATTCAAAGTGACCTTAATCACCTTTCTTCCCCATTCTGATGCTCAGTTGGAACTGCAGCAGATCGTATTGACCATGTCTACATGCCTAAATGCATTGAATTGTTGCCATGTTATTTGCATTAATGAACAGTTGGACAGAGTTTGTGTTGTGAACAATTTGTAACACATGTGCTGTCAAATAGATGAAGATTGTTTTTTTATTTGCTGGTGTAACCCCGCCGGCTCTACACCACCCAACCCGCTCCGAGCTGGTTTCGAACTGGCAACCTTCTGCATGGGAGTCGGTTGCTCTAACAAGGAGGCTAAAGACCATGGCCTCTAGCATTTTTCGCTAGAGCACCTTTAGAGGTCAGAGGAGTAAGGTTTACCTGCACAGCCCCTACTGACTGGTCTCCGTTACACTCACCCCCCTAAACCTCACTCCCATCCGGGTCACGGCACCAATGTAACCCCGCCGGATCTACACCACTCAACCCGCTCCGAGCTGGTTTCGAACCGGCAACCTTCTGCATGGGAGTCGGTTGCTCTAACAAGGAGGCTAAAGACCATGGCCTCTAGCGTTTTTCGCTAGAGCACCTTTAGAGGTCAGAGGAGTGAGGTTTACCTGCACAGCCCCTACTGGCTGGCCTCCGTTACACTGGTGTTTTTTGTAATTGCATGTGCTTTCTTAAATTGGATCACGTTAAGCTCTCTCGGCCAACGTAAAAAATGGTTATTTTAAATAACCCCTTAACTAAAAGAACCAGGTTCTTCTGTGGAATTTAAACCTATTTAAACTATTTTGATTAAAGGTAAATAATGATGATAACTGACAGCATCAAGGACACTTCACAATGTAACGAGTATAACGACAACCATTCTAATTTTTGAACAATCCTTCAGTTACAATGGTTATAAATATGAGATGCTTTTTCTGTTACGTTTTACTCCTTTCCCTTACAAACATTTTTTTTAGTTCTTTATTATGACTTAGAGATAATTAAGTGGTGACTTTATTAGGTCTGTAGATAAAAACATAAAATGCTCATTTAAATGTCTATGCTTCATCTGGTGCAGATTGACCTGGCGTCTCTTAACAAGAGCATCTTGTTATCTTCTAACGGAGAGATCACAGCCCACCTATTAACTCAACTTCTACCACAGCACCTGTATGGAGGCGAGTGCCAGCTGAATACACCCATGAACCCTTAATCTCCTTTGGTCCATAGATCACATTTCAGCCATGCAGCCTTGTCCAACGCCCTCTGATAAATACAAAAAAAGTGCATTTTAAGTCTCATACACTCTTATCTTTGTAACAGCTGCTCCCCTCCTTGCTGATGGCCATCTTATTGGCTGATTTTTAACATCCCTCCCTTGGTTAAACAACATTTACTTTACAAATGACTGAAACTTATCTGGTGGCTTTCGACGCTAAAAGTTCCAGCTAGACACTACGGCATGTTGCGGTGAATGTAGATCATATGCGCTTATTCTGTTGGCTGCGTAGCTACAGTATGTGTAGATCTTAAACATGAAAGCAATGAGGTGTGTTGCATAAGTGGTGAATCTGAGGTAGTGATGAAATGACTGGAAATGAAGCTGTGGGGAAATCCCTGGCATGGCGATGTGGATTAATTAATTAGTAAAGATGGAACAACCTAGAAAAACATCAAACAAGAAAGAGAGGAAAACTGTTTGTGTGGTGAGGAAACCAGATGGTGCCTTGAAAAGGCTACCCCATTTGTCTTGTGTATCTGGATTTAATAAATGTGACACCCAGACCATCTTTTATTCAATTATAATAAAAGTAATTATCATAAATATTTAATTTAAAACGATAAAAATGTTTTTAGAAAAACTTGCTACCTCTGAGCTTTTTTTCAGTAATACTATTATAATAAAAACAATAATTTTGTAATAATATATTAAATAAAAGTATTGCATTATTAAAGTAAAACAGTTATTATTGATTGTATTCTTAATATTTTTAATCTAGTCTAGTAAGTGTTATTAATTGTATAATGTATTAGCTTTAAACTATAGGTTTATATCAACAATTAAATAAAAAAAGATATTTTGCCCATTATAATAAACAGATATTATATCTCCGTCTATCAATACAAGTTCATTTTGTTCATGTCGTTCCTGTTGTCCTACACAATACTGTCTCCTATTGGTGAACAAGTAGAAGTAATTCTATAAGGCTTTAAAAAAATATTTTAACAAGCATCCCATGTCCAATTTAATGGTTCATCTCATTTGCACAACAGTATGAATACACATATTAAAGCTACATTTTGTGTTCGTAAAAAGTGTACATCATGTTAAATAAAACAATTTCTTCACAAGTATAATTACAAAATAAAAACATGCAGATTCATATCACACTTTTGAAGTACATATATGCTTATTCAATGTATTTACAACATTCAGAATAATTATGAATATCTAAATGTTGAGAAACAATGAAATAATCTCTAATAAAATACCACATAACCTTAATTCTGTCTCTTTATACCTGTGTCCTGTCTTAGTTTGTCCTTTAACCGAGTGTACTACATTTGAAAGAAAAAAAATGAAAGAAAAAAAACACTCTCAGCTCACTAAACACCCACGAAACTATTCTAATTTTTTAACCCTTCCTATTAAACATCCATAATTTCTCGGTTTATTATCAGAAGAATATTCATTCATTTTCCTTCAGCTTCCATTATTTATCAGGGGTCGCTACAGTGGAATGAACCACCAACTTATCCAGCATATGTTTTACACAGATGCCTGTCCAGCTACAATCCAGTGCTGGGAAACATCAGAATAATATGTGCACTCATATTAGTACTCCATCACAGCATCTTTAACTTGTTAAAAGCAAAATGTATCTCAACTTTAGTCTCTAATCTGTTATTCTCATTTGAGAAAATGACACATAAATAAACATACATCCAATGCACTTTTAAATTAAGAGTTGCATATCATGGCTGTTAAAATCCAGTGATGGGCAATTGCACTCTTCCGGATGTAACACGCCATCTGGAGACACATGTTAGACCTGAGCTCTGGCTCTTTGAACTTCTGGCACGACAGAGACACCTAAAGGCATTGAATAGGCTGTGCTCAAATTCTGCAGTCCAACCACTAGACACTTCCAGCTGTAACGAAAAGCTTTTCGCACATTCTGCAAAAAATAATTAAAATAAGTAGAATTAAAATTAGTACAAAACATTGTTTAATGTACTTAAAGTGTATTGTAATTAATAAAAAAATATTTTACATTTAAGAAACTATGTATAGGCTATTCAATCTTTGGCATTGCTATCAAAAAGTTTTTTTTTTCAGTCTTTTTTTCTATTTAAAGACACTGGATAATATTGTGTAGTTCAAGAAATTGTGTTGTTCATTTTTTAAGAAATGTGTTCTTCAATAAAATCAGGAATATATATATATATATATATATATATATATATATATATATATATATATATATATATATATATATATATATATATATATATATATATATATATATATATATATATATTCGCACACACATACTCGGTCTTCGTGCCTTGTTAGGCCACATTTAGCATTTTTGTCTTGTGTTAACAGTCATACAAACAAATAATTTTACGTACTTTTCTTAACTTTTTGTATTTGTCTTGTTTGTTCTTGCTATTGTCATCTCGTGGTTGGTCAGATATATCCTCTTCTACCAGCGGCTCGTATTTCTCTTGTAGAAAAGCGATGTGCACTTGTTTGGCGGACTTTTCTTTCTTGTTGACGGACTTCAGTGACTGATCCAGCACATGCGACTGATCCTGAGCCTTGACTCCTTCCACAGGTGGCTGATCGCCCTTAGTAGCTACAATTTTACATTTGTCCCCCTTTTTGTTATTTGATCTCCGCTTGTATTTGACACGTTTGCGAGGCATTTTCTTCACAACTTAAAAACGTCCATTGGAATCTGAATGAGTCAGGTCCAAAGTTCATTTAACTTCACTTGGAATTGTCTCAGCGCATGCGCATTTCAGAAGTTGGTATCCAGTAAGTGTCGCCTCTTACTTAGTAATAAAACACATTTACATAATTTGATGACTTTAAACTATGATATGAGCAAAGTTCAGCTAGAGATATTCAGAATTTGTCTAGTGGATTATGTCAAACAGAAAATTAATAATAACATTTTAGCAATAATTTGCTGAATCTAGCCAATAAAAAGAATACAACATTTGCTGTTTCATTGTCATTAAAATATATTGGGATTTACTAAGTTTATATGTATTTTCTAATATGTGTGGACATAAGATAATATAGGTTCTTTTCCCACTACAACTGAATATTACTGTATTTATTGAAATAATTAATTATTTAGTTTTTATTAAATAATTTTTTTGTGATGGTGCATGTTTTCTAAGTTATAGCTTAATTGTCAAATGTATTTTATATAAAAATTTATTCATGATAGTTTTGTGATCATCAGCACTAACTTATTTGCAAATGCATATAGTATGACGATTTTTGTATAATGAAAAGAATCCTTTTTTTAGCCTAAAATGCAGTTCTGTAAGCTGTCAAGATGATTGTGAATATTATGTAACAGTCCTATGTGGTAACTATGAAAGTTGCTTTACGTGTTTAACATATCAGCTTGGCCTCCTATACACTGTACCTTAATTAACATATTGATTAGATCTGTAAATCGAGCCTTACGCCATCCTGCCCTTTAAAATAGAACATTAAACTCAGTCAGAAGGCTATGAAGGGGGTGGGAGCCCAGAAATGATCTCTTATGGTTTAATTGACCATTTAACCACTCTCAGAAATGAGCTGTCACTAAAGTACCACCATTTCACCATATTTATACTTAATATATAAAGTAGGCCTATAAGGAAATATTTCCCATGTGAAGTGTTTAACATAATGGGGGACATTTCCAAAGTTTGAAACCTTTTTTTTCTGCGCATAGTTTTATTTTTTATGTTTGCTGGGGTAAAAGCAGCTTTTAGTTTTTTTTAAAAACAATTCAAGGGTAAACTTTTTAGTCCCCTTAAGATTACCACTGTTATCTAACTGTTATCTAAATAGCTTATTAACTTGCCTAATTAACATACTAACCTAGTCTTTAAAATGCAATCTAAGCTGAATACTAATATTTTGCAAAATAAGTATAAATATAGTATACACCGTCACTAAAAACAAAAAATTTGTTATTAAAACTATAATGTTTAAAAAACAACAACTTTGGTCCCTTCAAGGTATAGTTTATTACCCAGTGTGTTCATTACAATAAAAGTATAATAAAAGTGCACCATTTGAAAAGGTACTGCTTCAGCAATAATTCTATTGTGCCTTTAATCTATCATTTCAAATGATACAATTCTGGAAGTGTATAATTTTAAATATTGATCTGTTTTATATTAACTATATATAGCAAAAGTGTTTTTTCAAGAACATGTACCCTTGAATGTATTAAATGTAAAAAATTTCCAATCCTTCATTTCTTTTGTTGTTCTCAAATGTGCTGAACTTTGAGTGACAAATCAGAGTTGTCATTTTCTGGTCTTTTGACTGATTGGAGGAGGATTCAGGGGGTGGGGGGTCATGCTGTAAAGTAGGAGTACTTAAGAGAAGTTGTAAGGTATAAAAACAGAAAGAAGAACATTTTTTTGTGCCGATAAAAATGGACACTAAGTTGTGTCTATTACTTTTCCTCAGTGCACATTTATTGGCAGGTAAGACTTTACATCAATCTTTTTATTTTAATTTAGTTTTGTTTCTGTCCCTCAAATGCATTGTCTTACATTATATATTTTGTTCGTATTTTATATGAACAACTTTACAGATTTTTATAAGGTTTAAAAAAGATGTAACTTTTTTTTACTTGAATTTACTTGAATTTATTTGGCTTTCAAGTGATTGCTCTGTTTTAACCTAATTAGTTTATTTAATTTGCAATTTAGTCACACATTAATTTGGCTAATAAACAACCCCCAAAAGTCATTTTTTGCACTATATGAGAAATGAGTTGGTATATTAAATATACATCAAGATATAGCAGCACTGTAGAAAATGCTGGATTCCACACAATCAATTTGTGCTGGGGCAACATCAAGCAATTAAATTAACTTGTTAGTTGTTTATAAATTAAAGTGGATTGAGCATAAAAGAATTAAGTTGTCCCAAAAACAAGCAGCAAACGTAATTGAGTGAGTTTAAGATAAATATGATATCACAGTGATTGAATAGAAGTCAATGAAACATGTTTTCCTGTTTACAGATCTCCGTTTCAACATGAATTACATCACACTATCCTAGTAGGCCGCCTATTAATTCAGTTTCTATTCTGTTTCTATGTTTCTAAAGGAAGCACTGAGGTTGCTGAGGAGGACACTGAAGGACTATCAAAATGCCCATGTAAGCAACCAATACACATGCAACGTATTGACTGTCATCTAACTAACCTCAAGTTAGCTGCAGAGGTTGTGACATGTTATATCTCTATCTGCAGTTCATGAGTTCATTTAGTCTGGCCTATACTTTTCTATCGGCTGCAGAAGATAGCAGCACTGAACCCTGGTACATGGACCCTGTATCCAGAGTATTGAATGATAGAAATGTCACTCTGTCAATAAAGAGTCCAAAGTTCCCCTGATTGATTAGAACTAACTCTGAAATACTGCAAAAGTCAAGATAAATTGTGAAAGTCTTGCAACAGCAATTTTTTTATGTGTTATTATTGATGTTAAAATGGGCTCTTTTTTACTTTTTAAGTGTCTGCTAGGTTCAAGAACCTCAGAAAATATGTTTATCAGTACACAGCAGAGAGCAAAAATGGGGTGACAGGTACAGCTAACCTCAAGAACGGTCCAAAGATCTCCTGCCAGGTACAAAAACATGGCTTAGCCTAATTTTACGAAAACATGTTATATATTGTATAATTTAAAGTCTGCAAGATTTTGAAAATGAAGTAATATTAGGAAAAAAGTGTTTTGGCAAATGGTAATAATTTAATAATAATAAAATAATAGAGTATTTAGATAGAGATAAAGTATTTCTATGATATTTTATATAATTATAATCATCTTTACTATATAATTTTGTCAATTTAATTCATTCTTGCTAAATAAAACTATTAATTTCCTTTAAATGTAATACTACTATTCTCAAACATTTCTAGGAAAGTTTATATATGCGAATATTTTATGGATGCATTGTATGCTGTAATCAACTGTACTGTATATACTTCTTTCTCTCGCTCATCAGGTTGAAATTGAGGTCCCACAGACATGCAGTTTTGTCCTCCGCACCACAGAATGTGTCCTGAGCGAGGTTTCGGTCATCGACGCTCAGGGTCAACCTGTTTACCGACAGGCTGCTGGAGCTGAGGCCTTTCAGGCAGCTATGGAGAAGTATGTGGAGCAGCCCATCATGGGATATTCCTGCAATTAAATAGAACATCAGTGGTTTCAGTAATATTATTATATATAAGTAATTTTATAAAAAAATGGCTTCTGAAACCCCCTTTTTCAGGAACACCCTCAATTTTGTGGTAGACCAGGTAACCAGTGTTTCCATTTATCCAGAGGAGGATGAACCAGAAAACATTTTGAACATCAAAAGAGGAATCATATCTGCTCTTCTCGTGCCAGTCTTGGAGGAAGAACACAATGAAAGAATGGTGAGATAAAAAAAGAACAGGATTAAGTTAATTATAAAAATTTGCACACAAATAAAGTCTATGCAATTAACTTATAATATATTGTGTTCTTTAGTTCTTCCACAGAATATATTTTAATGTACTGTATAAAGTTGGGTTCAAGGATCATAAATTAGCTTTCATGTTTCATTAGTGTACCTACATTCTATATTATACCTTTGAATATAATTACAAAAATACATGAAAATGAGCAGATTATCAGTGTGTGGTTTCTTGCTTTAGATTCAACTGTGTACATTGTTTATAAAGATAACTTCTTCTCCGTTCTTTTCTTTTTAGAGCACAATTCATGGCATATGCAAGACTGAAGTCACTGTAAACTCCCGAAAGGATATTGATATAGATGTCAGTGTGGTCAGAGACCTGTCAGACTGCAGCCATTTCTCACCTCACAGTCTCTCCACCAGCCCTCTGTCCCTTATGCCTGGGCTGGTACGACACATTTCTTTCAATATCCACATTTTACATCCTTTTTACATTTTACATCCTTCAAAAATGTCACTCAAACAACTTTTGACATTTTCTTTTGCAGAATGGACTTTTTTCCAAGCTCATCCGCAGCACTCAGACTTGCAACTATCAGTTTGATAACAGGAGGAAGCACATGACTGAGGCCCAGTGTACAGAGAAGCACCTTTTCATCCCATTCTCACATGAGTGCGTTATCTTTTCTTTCAAAGTTTTTTTTTTTTTGGGTTCAGTGACCTGATCAGAAAATAACCCAAAAGGGCTATTCTGTTAATAATTTATTAAGCTTGTGTTGTTCCAAATGTTGTTATCATTTTTTAATACACAAAAGGGCACTTTAAATAACTTTACAACATTAGAGTTGTGGGTAGAGTGCAACTTAAAGTTAATTACAGTCAATCTTTAAATGGGATAATCAAAATAATGATACATGTACAGTAGTCAGCATTTGAAATGGATCCAAAAGGTTTTTCTAAATTGTCCTAAGACAAGATTGGGTGTTATTTAATAGTTTTAGTTTTAGGTTCCCAAACTTTTCAGCTCACGTCCCCCAAAATGACAATGCCTGTGACTTAGACCCTCAATATCCTTTAAGGTGCTTATAAATATAGAAACCTAGCACGCAACAGCGTGCACACACCAATAGAATCAAGTTTATTCTTCATTTAATTTTTTTTAAACGTATGTGAGTGCTGTAAAGGTATCAGAAAGTTTAACCTGGTGCCATAAAATCAATCCGCTGCATCTGATGATGTTGCTGTGTCTTTAATGTAACGTAATAACCCCAAGG